TGTGTCTTCGCTTGTATTAGTCACAGGGCAATGTTTTATAGCTTATAGCCTTTTCGATAAATGCTCTAACCAAGGCAAAAATAAATTTTCAACAAGAATTCGAAGTAGTTCCTGAGATTAGCGCGTTCAAACAAACAAACAAACAAACTCTTCAGCTTTATATATTAGTATAGATAACTTTAGTCCGATAGTTATCTCTATTAAAGATCAATTAAGTTGTTTCAGAAAAATTCACATTTCTTATAATTTAGGTCAGAATCGAAGGGAAGGTACATTTAACGCTACTTCTGTACCGTATTTGTCGTATTTTTAAAGTATGTAAGCGTAATGAAGCTTTCACTATTAATAATAAATAAACGTACTGCCAAAACAGGTTTAATCTTAAACTTTTAGGCACTTCATTTATATATGTACAAGGAATAAGTAGGTAAGTAAAAACCATGAAAACTAACCAAAACAGAAATGATATTTTTATGTAATTCGTTTTTTTTTAATTGTGTAAATCACTACAAAATTATTACAAAATCAGGTTCAGCTATCTCCTATATCAATAATATGGCAGTATTAATAGAACTCTACAAAAAGAATACCTCAGTTCATTAAAGAAAATGTTCTTTCTCAGAAAGAAGTTTATCACAATAAACTTCATACAATGTTTCACAATCATCAATGTTGTACGTGGAATGTCGCTGCATTTACTGTCTTTCATAAAAAGCTGTAAAAGCCATTATTACAAGTTAGATACGGTGGTAGACTACTTCGGCCCTTATTACTAGACAGGGTTGCATGAAGCAGTATTGGGTAGGTATACAATTAATATAAGATAAAATATATTTCAGATAATTGAGACAAATCTGTAAAAATTAAAAAAGTAATAGAAGAACAAGACCTACACGAAACTATACTACTTATACAACGACTTTGTAAATTATCATGCAATTAATTGCAGCTTTGAAAACTTAAAATTTCTACATGTAGAATAAATAAAAAATCAAATTTTATAATAAAAAAAATACAACACGAGCGGGACTCAAACCAGCATCCACGGCAGTGCTCTTGCTCAATTGGTATTATGGTTGGGTTTCTAATTTAAAAAAATCTTTATTATCCCGTATAATACATATTTAAATAATTGAAATGTTTCACGCAAGTGTTATTTATTGCTTTGCAAATATATATCGTTTTAAACTTAAAGTGTTTTATTTAAATAAATCTAATATATTAAATTCTCGTATCACAGTTTTCGTTGCCATACTCTTCCGAAACGGCTTGACCGATTTTGATGAAATTCTTTGTGCTTATACGGTATCTATGAGAATCGGCCAACATCTATTTTTCATTCCCCTAAATGTTAGGGGTAGTCCACCCCTATTTTTATTTTTTATTTTTTAGACAAAATTTTTAATTTCTACTTCCTTTCATTTACATCCTTCTATGATCAACCCTTATTTTTTAATAGCCATTTTAGTATTTTTCCTCTCCGGTCGAAAACTGATCAATCGTCATTTAATTAGTTATAAATGATGTATATGGCAAAACAACGTTTGCCTGGTCAGCTAGTATTTTAATAAAATTAACGACTAACACAGCCCTGTATGAATAAAGGTAGTGCAACCAGAGTTTCTTCTAGAGCAAGTCTGTCAACGTTCTAGTTCAATATTTCTTTTTCTTTGCGCACAGAGAAGGCTTAAAAAACCTCACAACGACCTCGGTGAACGGCCTTTGTATAATAATGCATTATTTATTAAATCTTGCTATGGAAAAGGCTAAATTCACACAAATACAACATTAATATTAATACTTTTTACAATTAAGAATTATGCTAGTTACGTACTTTACTTACGTCTTCACCTTTTAACACGATTTAAAATGCTACGTACGAGTATGATCGATAATTCAACTCCAAGTTCCTTAGAAACGTAAACTAGGCTAGCTTAAGATTACAGCCTTAACTTGGCCTAAATAGACATAAAAGCGTGCGTGTTCTTGGTACTTTCCATATAAATTTCTCCCCTTAGTTTACAGGTACTGAAGAGAACTACTACTACTACTGAGGTACTGAGAAAATACATTTTTAAACAAACCACTTCCACGGTTTAAAACGCGATATATATTAGTTAAATTTATTTCAAACCGCGGTCACGGGAAGACATACATATTGCTTTATATTTCAATAAAAGTTTACTAGAGTTAGGTCATTTAAATAATACCATTTACATAGCAAAATATAAATAATTAAGACAAAAAAGAAATAATCAATAATTCAAATAGAACACGTTTAACGGTTTAAACGACAGACATTATCTTGTATTACCGAGAAAGAAGACAGACGCGCACTTCACTTGATGGAAGTTATTTCAACGCAGTCTTTTAACATCCAGTTTGCTGTAGACATTTAATTTATGACTTCATGCGACGAGTGAACCACACACCATATTTTGTTACCTGGCTTCTTTATGGAACTTTTCACTTTAAAAGCAACGATTTCGTTGGTTTATTTGTAGCACGAGCTCACAATGTATCAAAATATACAACCACAATGGAGGTTGCGTGAGTGTTGAAGAAAATGGGTTATACAGGTCGCGAACGGCACAAAAACTGTAATAACCACAGCCCTGGCTTCAGAAACTTCGAGTGTTACTTTACAAAAAATCAATCGAGTGTAAAAACCTCTTTGTTGGGTTTCGCTGCGAGAAATACTAATTTGATAAGCTGGCAAGGACGCGGATAAATGTTTTGTGAGGTTCACGCCGACACGACTAGCAGGAAGCCATTTCGTATATTAAATTCGGTTTTGTTAACATTGAACGCTTTTTACTTCCAGCAGAATACCTACGTCTACTAATACAGTATTACTTACCGTATATAATATTCTTACAGATCGTAATCACCAGAATCATTTATGTATAGGAAATAGGAACTAGCTATACAAGACAAGCAGACAGAAAAATAAATGGAATCACCACAAGTTACTATTACTAATTTATATTTAGTTTTCACACACGCTATAAAATTAACTACAGTTAAACCTTACAACTACCTCATTCTTGATAAAACTAAACGGAAATTTTCGACGTTACAATCTTTTTGGAAAAACTCCGGTTAAGTGTATGATACAAACAACTGAACAGATATCAATGAGAAATAAACGCCAACAGTTTAATCATACTGGCAGCCAAGTACGAGTCGAACTCCTCAACTAAGGGTTCCGTACCACTGACTAGGTTAAACAACACTATATACTTTAACTTTTATGTACCTAAAAAAAATGTATTTTTATTACTATTAGGTTATACAACCGCGTAATGAATAATTCAACTTGCCAGTTACCATTTAAAAAACAGAACAGTACATTGTTTGTTGTATGGAATCGTCTCAATAAATACAGCCAGATAACGAGATAGGGTTCCATTTTACCTTCGGTACGGAATCCTAAAAAGTAACGGTGAGCCACGACAAATCATTTCATAGATCATCAATTTCTCCGAAACAGAAAGTCGGAACATCAAACGGAGACTATTAAATATTTCTTAATAAAATTTTACTAGACACGCAATTGAAATTGTGAAGAAACACGTTACAAGTTGAATAGCGAGTACCGCACGTCTCACGCGCTGCAACCTCCAATCGGAAATGTTGATGAACTTGTGTGAGATAACGCATTTCGATATAAACACTGTGCACATATTAATTTTTCGTGGAAATTATTTGAATAATATGTTTCAACATCATTATTCTACAACAGAAAGGTTTTTAACAAAAAAGGGGGTTAAAATATGCATCATGCTACCTCGATGGGACTTGAAGAAAGGCAACATATCTTGTAAAACAATATTTATTTCCTAAGCATTCATTAATTGGCCAATTTATGATTTATTGGAATAATTCAAGGTTGAATCTTGATGATAAGAAGAAGACGGAATTCTGACACTCAATACTAGTTCTAACATTATTGAACCCCATTTACAATTACAATTAACAACTTTTTATATTGAGTATCCACAATTACTTTCATATTTCATTTGTACTTTTATACAAATCTGATATTTATAACTAACGCAATTTACACAAGAACTGCCTCCTAACATTTACAAATGTGACTTTATTTTGAATCCACAAGGTCCTAACATAATTAGTATGCGTTAACGTAGCAATGTTTGTTTCCTTTAGAGTATATAAGGTACTTTATATTACATACATCACCAATACTGTGCTAATTGGAAAAACGTAATTTATTTATGTAAAGGAAACTTACTGCATTGAATTATATATACAAAAATAATAATAAATAAATAAAATAATAAAAACGTCTAATATTTATAGAAAAGTATGTAGTATGCATAAACTTAAAATAAATCTTTTGTATGTTAATGTACATATAGATAGACAATATACAATTGTTCAAATAATTAGTTTATTATTGTCTTCTATATAATTGAGTCACTATATGTCATAATCAGTACCGTTAGATAATTTCATTAAGTTCTATTTAGTCATAAAAACTTACTATCAATAATAATCTGATATGTTAACAAATTTAATTTTAATAGTTAGTTAAAGGTTAGTATGATATCTACTTCATTGACCTCCTATGAGTCAATGACTTTCTATGAAAAACAATGAACTTAGTAAAATGTCAAGGGTCAAAGGTATATTTATGTAACAAGGAATAAGCAAATAATTAAGATAATATTGTATTGTACTGTTACTTATAGTATAAATAGGATATCTACGTGGAGATAAAGTTACAATTGATTTGGTAATATATATAAACAAATTATTACTAAGGAATCTACCATTTAACAGATAAATTATAATTTTGTATTTTTGTTGATGTTGTATTTAGATAATAAATTAATCAAGGTATATCATTTTTATCTTCTTAAGTGACCTTTTCATAAAATCAGTGGGTATCACAAAAGGCATGGACATAACCCAGTACTCAAGGTGATCAAGGTATTTAACAAAAAGAATATGACTGTAAACAAAATTTGACTCACCAATTGCCACCTAGACTTGCGATTAGGGTCAGCTATGGAGATCAGAAGCCTGTGTATCATCTGAATTGTTCCCTCGTAGTAAACGACTGCCGACTCATAATTTCCCATCAAGGCCATTTCCCGGGCAAGTCTTGTGTTCTCACAAATTTCACCAACAGAAACTGCCATTATTGCCATTCCCGCTGCCGACATACAATTTATTCTTCCACCAAAACTCTACTCTTCCACACGGAGAATGAATCGTGCGAGTCAAGCGATCCACGCGTATTTTTCATTATTTACACTTAATTCTTCACATTTCAATTTAACCATTTACAAACAATTATTTTCCTGTCTCATAGCAACGGGAATTTTCACACTGAGGTAACCGTATAAAACTTATAAATTTTGATCGACGACGGCACAATTTACATTTCTGTCTTTCTAAATCTGATTTTCGATTGGTTTTACAGTAACCATCATTAGGACAATATGACAGTTTACTTTACTTGACAATTAACTATATAGACTATAGAAATCACAGAGAATAAAACGAGAGGAAATTGTTTCCACAGACAACACTTTCTATATATTTTTAATTAAGGTAATAGTTTGGGTCTTATTCATTGTATCTCATGCATTAAAACAGACGAAGACAAAAACAATAAACATCTTTTATTGACAGCTAATTATACACTTTAGGAAATATAAATACAATTTTCAGTTATACAGCTTATATCTATATACAACAATAGTTCGCTAATATAATATGTGTAACACTACTGAATGAAACCCAACATTATTTAAAAAATAAAAAATACACAATGTCTTGAAACCTCTACCCAGAGATACAAATTTAAAAATAAAAACGTAAGTATTATTTTTAACTGTGATGTTTTGACTCATTTGGTTTAAATTGTGTATATTATGCAAGGATAATATGTATCATATTATAATATTTTCTTTTAGAAAACAATAAAGGAATTAGATATCTATCTATATAAAATTTAGTAATTAATATTAAGCTACAACACGTTTAGAAAATAAAAATATGCATATCTAAATGACACAGAGAATGATATAAATATTAAATATGCAATAACATAACACCGCAAGCGCATAAATCAATTTAACGACTTGTTTTAACGTAAAAATATATTTTTACTACCTTTTGCATTGCTGGTGAAAAGTAAAAGTTAATGTTTTACATAATTTGGAATTGCGATGGTGACATTGTCTCAAATTATTTTAGTTAAATTAAATATAGTAGTATTTTAGTTAAAAAGTATGCCTAATATATGAGTTTGGTGTAAACACTCAATCAATAAAGCATTTTGCAACTGTTTTTTGTAAAGGCACCGAAGTCCCACTAATAAAGAAAAAAGTGTGTCTAATAGGACTTATTTTGGAAAATCTTCCATCGAATCTGGAATATTCCACGATAGTTTGATTAATTCCAACACGGTATATGGAACAAAGCAACATTTGAGGTTTAAAAATCTACAAGTTATTCAAATCTACAACAGTCACACCTAATTTAATGTATATTAAAATTGAACATTACGCGAAATCCGAGAAAGCTTTACAGAATAGAACATCGATACATTTATCACATACACCAGTGGTCCGAGATTAACAAATAAGTTAACAATCAGGTCGGCCGCAAACATGTTACTATTCATAATTTTAGTATGAATTGGACAATTGTTGTAACGTGTTTGCGGTGGACCTTATAACTATAAAATATTTTACAATTTCGATGTACGCTACAGCTACGTCTAGGGGTATAGTCTCCGATAAATGTCATAGAACACGAACGGCGTTACGCGTTACGCTAACGTGTGGATAATGTAGGTGGCTTTTTATATTGAACCGTGAACTTCTCACGCGGCCTATGGCGTTTATGAAAGACTACATACAGACAAATCAGTCAACGTTTACTTGAACTTGAAAAGATAATGTTTATGAAGCCTAGGAGTATTAAGGGTTGATGGCAGCAATTAAAGAATAAATTCATTAACCTACACTACACACATATTCTTTGTCTTCTTTGGAAATACATTTTTATTTTTATAGGTCGACAAACCATAAACTCCTGGCTATGCAAAGACGACATAGAGATTACTGTTATCTATTTTTGTCTTTCTGTGATAAAGAGAAAATTTCTCAAATAGAAAAACAAACAATTGATGTGCTAATTTAGTAATTTGCTAACTGATCCGATGTTGCAAGCTTAATATTTGTTTAAATCCAGTAAAACATTTATGTTTTGAAAGTTTCATAAGTGTTTTTTTATATGTTGATAACTAATTAGTATAATATAAAACTAAAAAATCAAATTTTTAACCATTAATGGATCCAGCTCCTACTTTTCAAATGAACAAAACTAGTGGATGACAAATCACCCTACTGGATCCACTTTTGTATTTGAAATCTCGGTATTGTATGTTAAGAAACAAATAATTTCAAACAGTGATGTCTAGATGCTCTTTAGGCGCCGGGGCGAGGACGTGAACCTGTTTGGTCTTCCCAGCATGGTACACTTGCCCAGGACTAAACGGCTCTAAACGAGGGTGTGTGGATATATCCTTTTTCAGATCTGAAAATTTATTAAGGCTTTATTTTATTCTATTTTTCTTTCTTTATTATATTTTTCTTTTAGCTATTTTCATAAGTTTAAAAACTCAATTTTATGGGTAGTGAACATTTACCCTTGGATTTACGTGCGATTTTTGAAAGCCGTTTCAGGTTTAACCCGTAACCACTACTACTGCAAAACATTGGAGAGGCAGGGTCGTAGTTCATATAAGTAAAATTAATTCGAAGAATTTAGAGTTTTAAATCGTTTATATCTTTAAGTCTGGCTTTAGATTCTATTGAAAAGAACATAAAATCCAATGCCTACTACATATTGATAAAAGTTAAAAATCTTTAAAGTCAAATACTGTGTATAGTTTACGCGAGTAGTACACATTTAAATAAAACACTAACGGGTAACGTGGTCACGGGGAGACACGGCTGCTGCAAAGCACCCGAAACGTCGGGCCGAAGTGAAAAATCATTTTCAAATAAGTTTAACTAATATATCGCGTTTTAAACCGTTAAAGTGTTTTATTTAAATCTTTAAAGTCACTGAATTATTTGGTTATAACTAGATTTCATACCTTTGGTATTGGCTGCGATGTACTTAGACAAACGGACAGTTGGCAACGGCAGATAACCTGCCACAAGAGGCATCACGTCTAGCGTTACGTTCTGTGGCTCACCCGTACTAGAATCCATTGTTATTACTCCTATAATACGAAAATAATTGAGCATCATATCGATACTAATATTATTAACTAAAAGTTGTGCAAGCGCATTTTAAAAGTACTGAGAACTAACCGGCAGTCCTTCCTAACACCGCCCACGTAGTCTGATCCGCTAGCACTTCGTACATCAGTGATGTATACTCCGTTTCATTTACCTGCAAAGATTGTCAATCAGTCAAAACAGTAACAATATTTGTTAAAAAAAAAATACTCAATGAATGGTCTTGTTTAGAACAATAGTAAAGGTACAAAGAAATATATTGTAAAAAGATACAAGCTTCTAGTATACAAGAAACGTAAGACAGAAAAAGTAGAAATATTTATATCTTTCATTAAGCTTACTCGCTTGTTGTACATATAGAACCATGCGCTAGTTGCCATAAATTATATAAAAAGATATAGTATGTTAATATATAGGAAATTATTTATATGACTAGAATTACCCTTTGCACACTCAAATGCAAGCAGCAAACTTGGCTAGCTCTGCAGAAATCCGAACCCTTGCCTGGCTCCAACTTAGTTCGTATAACAAACAGCGTTGTACAGTCCTGCACATCGAATGGACAGGTGAAGGTCCTGGAAATATCCTCGTTCTCTAAACGATATTGAACTGTGAACGTCGCTTTCATGGGCCCTGCTTTGACTAGCGGGTCCTTGAGGAGCTCCCACATAAATGACGCAGTTGTACCATCTGAAGATACTTTCTGAAATAGTACAGTCAAAAGTAGTGGCTTTGAGATCATCGGTAACAATAAATCAGATCAGAGCAAAGTGAATGACAACAAAAAATACTGTATGCTGTTATGCTGCTAGAAAAATAAAATAAAATAAACAATAAGATAACATCTTCTTCGATCTTACCTAGTCTTCGTCACTTCTTCGTGAATACGATGAAACAATGAATGTGTTGCCATTTTTTTTATTGTAGTTTACGTAAATTAATTTTTAGGAATATTATTAATAAGAGAGTTTGAGGTATTTCATTAGTTTAATATATGAACGTCTTAAAATGCTTTTTAGTGTACATCAATAAAAATGCCAAGAAAAAATATACCATACACTTACCAAATTACCACTGGCCTTTGGATTCAAGTCAGAAACGGTTGTGTTGCCGTCACACTCTAACTTTGGCTCGCTCAGCACTAACTGAACAAGATGGCCGACTGTCGATTTGAGGGTAATGTGAACGAACTTCCTTGTATTGGATGTGAGGAGTTTCCAAGCTGATATCATTGGAGGAGAGAAGTGTAAAGGTACCTCCATAACAGAATCTAACCATGGACAGGTTAGCCACACCTAAAAAATAAAAGCTTTTATTTATTTGACGGTATTATACAATTAAATAAAATTTATTAATATATTTGACAGATAAATGGGAACCCAATTAAACAGTAAATTTAAAAACAAACATGCAAAAAAATACAAAATATTTTGTTTGAACTACGACTTATGACTATCTTATTAAACAGACATTTTCCAGGCATCATAAAAATGTCTTTGCTTTTGAAGTGCGTCTTCGACTTTAGTTCTCGTGTCAAGGGCGCTTTACCTAACAAATTTGTTCTAGCAGAACTTACTTTTCTGAGAGATTATCAAATATTATTTAATGTATGTCTTACAATGCCGCCAACGAATGCTTCTGCACCATATTTTGGAGTGATTTCCTAACATACTTACAGTATGTTCAATATTCTTCTCTCTTTTTGGCATAAGAACAGCAAACAAACGAAGAGGTATCTTCGTCGTGTGAAATGGTTCTGAGGCATCCACTGGAATTGTCAGCTCACGGGATAGAAGAGAATTGACACCGTAGCGAAGGTGGAGACCGGTCGATGCTCTGAGGTGTATTGTTGTGTTCTATGCGATTATTGAAGAAAAAAAATATAGTTAAAATAAACTTAAGTTCTTAAATTATTAAACACAATTAATTCCTATTGTTGTTGTTGATATTGGGGCGTGCAGTAGTAACTAGTTACCGTAATATTTTTATTGCGGTAAGAGATGTCACAATATGTTATGATAAAGGGAGACAGATATAAATAGGGTTCGCTTTATGGAAGGTGACTAAATATATGACAAGAAGTTGCGCTATCGACCTATTTTGGCATTCGATTATTCTATTCGGTAACGCGATTAATCTTTACGTCTTTTTCATCTGTGAACTCGTTCGTGATCCGAATCGGTGAGGATCGAAGCCAAGACCCGTCGATTACAGGATCTAAGATATACGAAGCCTTAGAGAATGCTGGATTTTACCTCTTGCAATCTCGAACTGCCATTTGTCACCACCAGCTCCATATCATGTTCCAACCCAGCGACTAAATCCTTCTTCGGTTCAACCTTATTTAAGTAAACAGTCACCCCTTGGGTGACCACTTCGAAACCCAACTTAGTGCTCAATAGCACATCAGATATAAACTCTATTTTTCCCTCCACCGACAAACACATCACCCCAACTCTAAAGATACCACATTTCTTCGGCAAACATTCAAAAATTATTTCATTAACTCCGGGCTTTATAGTTATATTGTCACAAAATAAGCACATTTCACAGTTAGGCCTGGCTGGTGGTACCGGTTTGCGGTATTTACCACTATCAGATCTTTTCAAAATCATTTTTGGATTTTGACATTCTATGGTAGCTTTTTGTAGAGACTTGTCTTCTTTGTAGTGCAGTTTTGATGTTATGTGCATAGGATCTAGTAGAGGGTTCTTCGGTTTTAATTCGTCCAGTCTTATACTGAAAAAAAGGATAGAAATTAAAAATATATATTTCGCAAGGTTTTAATTTTTTATTTAATGTGATGATTATGTTAATGTTTAACCGCCTATGTTGCTAATTGGTTAAACGTGTTGCCAAATATTGTGTTAAGCACGAGAGATGCTGGGTTTGCATCCCGAGGAGACAATAACGTACGGCAGGGTGAAATAGACTGTGATACCTCGCAGTAGGAAACAGGGTTTCACATACAAAGGTAATCAAATAATACATTTCCTACTTAAAAAAATGTTTCATGCCTGGTCTATAAAAAAGAAATATATATTGAAAGATTAACAGAATACTAGCACACAAGATCCACTAACCTCGTAACAAAATTACTAGGATCAATATCATCACTAGACTTCTTCGGACTAGCCTGTGTTCCTACACTTACATCAGTCTTATTGTTTTTTACCGGCGTCTTTTTGTCTATCTGCGATTCTGAATCCAGGCAAATTGAGCCCCTTGTACACACGACATCTCTTGGGAGAAAGCTCTCGATGACAACACGACACTGCACCTTACTATCAGTTATATATCCACGTTCGGACGGCAATAAACTTGTAGCTATTAAATGAAAACAATCATTGAGCTCCGTTTGAACGGATTCCTTTTCCGTGAGGTTTTGTTTGATTGATTTTATCATCTCCTCAAAGTAGAAGTTTCTGACTAGGATCTCTAGTTCCACTGTACTTGCTATTCTAGCTGATAGTGTTGTATATCTGAAAGCGAAAAAATAAGAATGTTAAAATCACAAACAATAAATACAGATTCTTCAATAAGAAAATTAATTGAAAACTAGAAGGGAAATGACAAAAAATTGAGTATGGTCTATATAACGGTAAAAAAACATGTGATGTACCTATCATAATCATTCATTTTCTTAGCAGCTGCAACCAGCTCGAGTCTTGTTTGCGCAGCGAGTTCATTCCAACCCTGTTCCTCATAAGATCTTAATGCATCCACAAGGAACACAACCGCTTTGCTGGTCTCGCCCAACTCTGAGTAGAATGCAGCTAAATCCCTACCTATTTGACGAGCAAACCTGAAAAATATGATTTAATATTTGTCACAATTTTATTTTACACTAATAAATAGTTGCCCCAATCCTAAAGGAAACCAAATAGTTTTTGTATGAGAACAAAATTTCTACACTTGTATCAAGATCTGTACTTCTTAAACAAATAACATTGACAAATGAAACAGACACAAAGATGTGTCTATCCCATACTAAGAGGGCAAAACGAAATTATGTAATTACTGTCAAAAGCGACATTACATATTCATCACATGAACTCTTCATAATAAAAAAATTAATTACCTCAATCTGCCAATATGTTTATATGTCCCCATGGCTAACTCTGCCAATTCTAGATAGTATTGTTGAAAGGCTGTACTGCTACATAGGGCTTCTTTTAGACGCACAGTGGGTGACTTGTTATTTGTCTCCGTGTCCCCCATTCCAGCTGACAGCATGACAACTAAGTGGAGTTGTTCCGATGTTGGTTCAGGCGAACCGGGAAGCAGGCCACACAACTTGCCTAGTTCATGTAGCTGAAACATTTTATGTTTGTGTGCAACAATTATTTTTAACATTTAAACAAAACACTTTAACGGTTTAAAACGCGATATATTAGTTAAACTTATTGAAAATGATTTTTAACTTTGGCTCGACGTTTCGGATGTAGCATCCGTGACCACGACTACGACCGACTCACGGGGAGACCACGGCTGCTGCAAAGCATCCGAAACGTCGGGTCAAAGTTAAAAATCAGTTTCTGTGTACTACTCGCGTAAACTATAGACATTATTCAACTATTTTTAACGTTGAAAATAACACAAAGATTTTATAATCACTATAATGCTTTATAATAAAGAAGATAAGAATGCTACCTTGTCTTTAGCATTGTGTAACAGTGGTGCTTGCATATCGGTACACGCTTCACACACACGAAGAGTTTCAACACAGGCTAGGTGCGCCCAAGATGCAGCAGCACCTTCTATTGACGGAGCGCCAAGTAAAGATAGTTCTACTAGAGTATTATGTACTGTACTTATACACCGCGATGCGACCTGAATAAAGAGTACCAGTAAGTGATTACAAAATTTTTAGAGTTCATTACTCTCTTTACATTGGGCTGCTTTGTAAAATGTTTGTACATTTGGAGGTATGGCTACCATTTTTTTAATTATATTGTTTTTGTCTGTCAATTCAATTGTGAAAAAGTTGGGTAGCAGTACTTATTGTTTTACACCAAGTGGCAATGTCTAAGTAGCACTTAATATTATTTTTAAAATATAAATGTTAGTTTTTTGGTAAAATTTTTCTTAATCAAAAGAAATGAATAGATATATTTGGAGCACACTGGGTTTTAACTACCAAACATCTGAACTGAATTAAATTACAAGTAGAGCCAACATAATACCAACATTTCCAAAACCAAAGAGGCTTCGCAAATGTACAATTGTAAAATAATAGCACATAAAACAGTAAATCAATCATTATTACTGAATCAATTATTTCTAACACAATTTAATAACTGTAATTTAACTATAATTAGTACCTGCTGACTTAATTACACATCAGTCAGTCATGTGAAAAGCATCATGTGAATAAATTGACTGCGACATGAGAAAAAAATTCAGCAATTAGATATGAGTTACTTTTATCATGATTATTACAATAAAAATTTGATTACCTCTTCTGGCTTCTCTGTAAGTAAAAGCATGGCACTTTGTCGTTGAAATAAATAACTTCTAAAGTCTAATAGAGAGGCTTTTCGTTTAATGATTAGTTCCCTTAAATGCAGCGGTACCGTTGGTATTAGTCTAATGGCTTGCCACGATGTTATCTGTTGCTTGAATGTGTCAAGCCACTTTGGACTCTCTGTTATATTAGAATTGAGTACAAATTGAGAAAATAAAGCATCTAGCTCGTCATATTGCACTAAAGCTTCTTCGTATAAGCCAAGCATTTCTAATACAAATGCTAATTGCTCCTGAAATAGAAAAATGAAAATAATTGAGACTATCAAATGTGTTATTTTGATTCCCATATCTCACACTTCTTCAGTGGCTGAATGATAAAATGCCTTTCCTAGTATTTCACTAAGTGCAAGATGTCCTAGGTTTAAACTGAGAGATAACAAAATAAATAGGATTTCTCAGACAGGGCACAGAATTCTGTTTAGAGGTTTTTAATAAAAGTGACATAAAACCCCATTTGGCACTCATATGTATTTTTGATACTTTAAGGTGTTTGTTTACTCATTTTATTCATACCTGCAAAATAAAATATTTACAAAAATCCCATTCTGGATCATTCCGCTTCTCTCTCTGTTCCCGCATATACTCCTCAAACTTATTTAATGTCTTATTATAGGAAACTAAAACTAAATGTCTTAATTTTGCCACTAATGCCCTCCATGACTCTGCACTCCTGGCTTCAGATTTTATTGGGTTTATTACAGAAATAAACCTATCTTCAGTCTGCTTCACAGCAAAATCTCCCTTAATTTTGTCCAGAACTGTAGTCCTTGGTAATAATTTGTTAGTTTTTCTAATATCATATGTTTCCACTAAAACTATCATCCAGTCTGTTATATTGTTTTTCTCTAGTTGTTTGAACCATCCTTCTATATCTTCTCTAAGAGTTGTTTTATAATATTCTATATCCTAAAACATAATTGTACAAAATATTTAAGTTTAATTTAATTGTTAGGTTTCAATAACACCAAGATCTTTAAAATGTTTTACCACACAATCAGTCCAATAAATATGCAATATAGGACGTTTTAACAAATTAAGCTCAGAGTGTACTTTGTCTTTATTATATTTGACAAATGAAGCCTCCAAGTAAACAAATTTAGTAATGCGCCCAAACGACCTCCTCCATTCACAGGAATCTTGAGGAATTGCGGCAACCAAGGGAGCTTCCAGAGAACAAAACAAATTCCAATCTCCCGCGCCTAAAACAATGCATAAATTATTAATTGCTGTGACCTTTATGACGACTGATACGTGGTGATATTAGATATGTAACTTACATGTTACTATTGGTTTATTTGTCATTCCTTCCTTACTAGTTGGCGGGCTATCTACACCCTTCATTTTTCATCATCAACTGGTTCTCTATTTGAAATACATGACACCAAAATACTATTTGTTAACAAGGGGAGTCCACCCACATTTTATAAATTGAGCAGGAGCTAACTTTATATAAAAGACATTCAATTTATTATACTTTCATTCTATAAAGGAAATCGTAATTAGTATTATTAGTAAATAAAACACTATGAATTAAAATTAAATCCAAATTTCCAGTTCTTAGAATGCAATGTTGTCAAATACTTTTACTTCATGTGATGATGTCTACGTCATTGTCATTTGTACCAAATGGAAATGTCGCTATAGCAATCTAAAGATTCATCCATTATCATGATTACTAGAACACAGACGTAAAACCATCTCTTAACTGTATTATATATACTCTGTGATTATACATTATACTCTATAGTTTATGGTAAAAATCAAAAATGTCGCTCTGTTTTGGTACTGTCGTGATAAAAATTAAATTAAAATTTTAATACATATGAATTCATTATCTGAAAATCTCGAATGAACATTCTTCTACTAGTAACATAAGATATTTTGAATTATATATAATTTATAAATAGGTGAGTTTTCATTATCTTTTACTTATGGAAACTATTTCATGAAAATGATTAATAATATCGATTTGTAGATAAATAACAGACAAAGCAACGTTGTTAGATATTCTAAAGAAATTATATAAGAAAACAATACTTTGAGGTTCGTATAGTATTTAGAATTATAAGTAATTCGCATGAAATATGTATTGAATTGTTATAAATAGATAGCCTATTTTTGCATATAATTGTCGTCCTGTTGGTTACAATTAATGCGAAAACGTGAATTAATTAAATGGGTTGGAGACTGTATTTGAATATTAGCGTTTCCTACTGTACTTATATGGTTATAAGAGTATTTACCTTGTAGTTGTGCTTTTCTAGTCATGAATACAACTGCGCCTACTTCGGCGGATGCCTGCCTCAGCATAGTACATTCGTTAATGTGCCACCGTCAAGGTGGTGAGAGTGAAGGTTTTTCTAAGAGAGCCATAGAATCTCTTGTTAAGAAACTGAAAGAGAAACGAGACGAATTAGACTCACTGATAACAGCTATCACAACAAATGGTGCTCATCCAAGTAAATGTGTTACAATTCAAAGGACTTTAGATGGAAGGTTACAGGTAAGTGCCTTTTACCTTCTTGGTAATAGAGACAGAATAAAATCTTTATTATAAGCTTTTTAATGTATGGTGCAGGAGATCCTACAGCTATTACAAATTGTATTGATTTTTAAATATATGTTTGTAGCTTATAATTATGTTATAACAGATTTTTTTCAGTGCAAATTTCATTAGTTTGTTCTAATAATAATCTATTTGGTTAGGTGGCAGGTAGAAAAGGATTTCCTCATGTTATTTATGCAAGAATCTGGCGTTGGCCAGATCTTCACAAAAATGAACTGAAACACGTGAAGTTTTGCCAATTTGCATTTGATTTGAAATGTGACTCAGTCTGTGTAAATCCATACCACTACGAAAGAGTTGTTTCGCCTGGAATTGGTAAGAATTTGATTATTATCTAACTTCATCAACTTCTAGTTAATTATTATATATTGTTGACCCCCATATTGTTCCTATATTCTGTTTTATTATGTCAATTATAATTTAGTGTTCTTTTTCTAGACCTTTCAAACCTCACTCTCCAATCTGGGCCTAGTAGGCTAGTTAAAGATGAGTACACAGCCGGTATTGGTGGTAATGGAATGGATATGGATACTGGAGAGTTAGTCACAATACAGCATCATGCCACAAGTCCCCGGCACCCACATACAACAATAGCACACCATCACCAACAATTCCAACCAACAAATATTATTATTAATCAAGGACAAAGTAAGATTTATTTTACTTGTAACAGACAATCTAAGCTCTTACTATTTTAAAAAGTTATTTTTTAAGTAAAAGGATAGTTGTCTGTGAGTGTTTTGTGTACTTTGTTACTTTACTTTATCTTTTCATGACTTTTTTTGCTATGCATTTAAATTTCTTTTGCGTTTCCGTTTCGATAGCGCCAGATGGCGTTCCGAACATGTTTTCTCCGCACGGACCTCGCCCTTTACGGCCCGGGGCGCCGCTTGTACCACCACAAATGGGACATTCTCCTGGGCCACAAATGATCTCAAATCATCCTAACCAAATGACACAAATGGGTCCTGGAACACCACAGATGGGTAGAACAACGCCCCAAATAGGTCCTGGGACACCACAAATGTCGGGTACACCGCAAATGGGTCCTGGTACCCCTCAAATGGGTCCAGGAACACCACAAATGGGCCCCGGTACGCAACAGATGGGTCCGGGTACTCCACAAATGGGACCCGGAACTCCGCAGATGGGGCCAGGTACACCGCAAATGGGGCCAGGTACACCGCAGATGGGGTCGAATGTACCCCAGATGGCCTCGCCGAGAATGGCGTCTGCTCCAAACCAAATGTCACCGGGGACTCCACAAATGCCGAATATAAGTCAGGGGATGTCGATACAAAATTCTCAACAAATGGTAATGGGTCAAAGAGCCATTGCGCCAAAACTAGAACCCCCGGATACAATGGACGCTCGTACTATGTGGAGATTAAATCATTGTAAGCTTTTAATGTTTTTATTTTGCACTTAATTTAGCCTGATCACTTTTTAAACCTTTTTGTTTAGGTGTCTGATATAAAGATCCTGGCTCTATTTCATTAAATGTATAGTGTTTATTATATCCATTTTTTAGCTGCTATGCCAGTCAGTATGTCACCTGGCGGATCTACTCCCATTATAGATGGAACAAACAACACGTTCTTCACTACAGAGCAAACTGCAGCAGACACACAATTGACACAGACTTTACCAGGTATGTTTTAATCATTCTTGTTGTCTTAAGAATTTTACTTTTAAAATCTTTACCTCAACATTTCCGACACTCTCTTAGTGCTTACTAGTATTATTGATTTCTTGCTAGTCGGATCAGTAGCAGTATCAACAGTCAATTCTGTGCCAGTAACTGCTGTCGCGTCTCCGAATGAACCGCAGCAAAATGGCTTCACAGCAACCAGCCCTCCACAACAGAGTCCGTTACCGCACCGCACACAACACCAGCAAGGTACAGCAACACCATCTAATATATAACTACAATTTTTTTTATATATTGCATGTTGTTACTGCCAGGTTAGGTTTCTTTAAAGAGCCTTAATCTGTAGCAGATGAGAGCTATATTAATTTTTTTGGTGTTTACTTTACAGTGAAACCTGGTTAATAAAATCCCATCTCAAGGGACCAAGACATGTATCATTTATTGAAGGATCCCAATAATCCAGTTTTCAAACATGTCATAATGTGTTAAAACTTGATTAATTTCCTCACTTATACGCGTAAATGAGCTACAGAACCTCAAAATTTATTGAAAAACAACTGGGACCTCATTGCAACCCTCAATAATAGAGGTTTCTCATTTTAGCAGTTAACATTTCACTATTTTTTCTTTATTCTAATGCTGATAACACGTTTTTCTTTTGTAGGTACGTGGACCGGCAACAACACGTTGACATATACCCAGAGCCTCGCACCACCCCCCGCCGCGCCACCCGTTCCTGTCGATGCGCCTGCGCATCACCATCATTATTGTAAGTTAAATAAAGTATTTAAATAGCTTCACATTATTGACACTATGCTAAAAAACGTGTATGTTTTTCTCACTCTTTTGCTTTAATTTTTTCTTTTAAGTACTGTGTAAACTTTGTAATAGAAGTTACTTAAAAAGTAAAAAGGTTCTCGATTAGGGGTATTTTTGACCCGATCTACATATTTTATTTCCAGACAAGTGTTGAGAAACAATGTTTCATGTTTTCAGACAATGGCAACCCAGGCGGGTTACTATCGAGCCAACCTGCACCAGAATATTGGTGTTCTGTGGCGTACTTCGAGCTGGACACGCAAGTCGGCGAGACATTTAAAGTGCCCTCCAGCCGACCCAATGTTACTGTGAGTTTGTATCTCTTGTTTGTTACCTTTCTGTTTGTATTAAGTATGTATCCATTAAAATATATACAATATATAATATAGAACAGTCTTAGTATCTTCCAAGGTACTATAATTAACGCGAGTACACTCACGTACGTTAAATTAAACATTCTTAACGGTTAAAAATGCAGGAAATATTAGTTAACTCAAAATACAACTCGACGTTATCCCCCGTAAGTCCCACAGTGACCAAGGAAAGGGTTACTTCGTGATAAAATTCGTTAAAGTATTTTATTAAATCTATACCTCTTGTTGATTTCTAATAATGAAGATATTATTTATGTAATTATAACAATTGAATCAGTTTAATCCAAAATATTTAATGCAGGTTGATGGTTATGTGGACCCATCTGGTGGAAATAGATTTTGTTTGGGCGCGTTGAGTAACGTTCACAGGACAGAACAAAGTGAGAGAGCTAGGTAAGAGTTAGTTACAATTTCTTTATTATATTGCGATACTGTGGCCAACATTTGTTTGGCCAAAATTATTGATAGGAGCGGGATGTGAACTTGTGAAAATATTAAAGTTTTCAAATGTATTTTAATAGTATATTTATCATCACGAAAAACCATTTCAAACTGGTTATTTTTTTTTTTCAGTCCACATTGTTAGCTAACTTCACCCCATTCCCCCTTTGCCGGGGACAATGGGTTATGCAACTCTCACTGTGTTTCCTTGAAATGTTTAGGTTCCTTTTCAGAATCTTAATATTTGTTTTCTTACAGGTTACACATAGGCAAAGGTGTTCAGCTGGATCTTCGCGGTGAAGGTGACGTGTGGTTGCGATGTCTATCAGACCACTCCGTATTCGTTCAGTCTTATTACTTGGACCGGGAAGCTGGAAGAGCTCCTGGGGACGCCGTGCATAAGATTTACCCCTCCGCTTGCATTAAGGTAGTTTTAATATATAAAAATGTTAATACCAGATGCCCCTTGGATGTCATTTTAAGTGTCTACAAGAAATCAGTTGTTGCAGCATCAGATGGGTGATGTCCTTCCACAACAAAGCATTTGTATATGTGCCTTAACTCTTTAACTTTTTTTTCTAGTCTTAATTGTAACCCGATTATTTATTATCTGATTTTTTTTGTGTAATTCAGTATATTTATTTTGGCGTGGAATAAATTATTTGTATTTGTATATATGCAAAATATATATTTATATATATAATAAATTATTGCCGGTTAGTGGACACTATTCCACATAAAAAAATATTTAAGCGAGCCTCCAATGACATTGCTGCTGCAAAGCATGCAAAACATGGGTTCTGAAAATAAGAGCTTCGCGTTTTACATTGTTAATCTTTGGATTTAGTTGTACATAATCGTGTGTGTTTTTAATATTTAAAGTTACAGTATTTAAGAATATGTATTTGTTTCAGGTGTTCGATCTTCGTCAGTGTCATAGACAGATGCAGACTCAAGCGGCAACGGCGCAGGCCGCCGCCGCCGCTCAAGCAGCTGCTGTTGCAGGTCACATTGCGCCGGCGCATCCAGGAATGAATAAATGTATAGAGTTTTTTATATCTATTCTGAAAAAAAAAATATTTCAGTAATTCCTTCGTAAAGGGTTAAATAAATATTATTTTTAATTTAAAATAATATTGGACGTGCGTGAGTCTTATTGAGATCTACCTTTCACATTTAAAACTCCGTAAAAGTGAATCGAATTAATTGTCTATAGGTCTCTCGGCGGCAGCCGGTATCGGTGTAGACGATCTCAGACGGTTGTGCATAGTTCGACTCTCGTTCGTGAAAGGTTGGGGGCCCGACTATCCGAGAAGTTCCATCAAGGAGACCCCATGTTGGGTGGAAGTGCATCTACACAGGTAAGTTTGTGTATCTAAAAAACTCATGATGGTTATTAACCCTGTCTAGCTTTCATTACACTGTCTCACTATATTCGTAAATAGACGTTAACATAAAATTGATTAAGAAAGAGTGAGACGGAGAAAATAAAGGATATCTATCTCAGACTTTTAAACAGCCTTCAGAAGAGAACGCTCTCAATTTAACCGTATATTGTAGTTCTACCGTTGTTATGCCTTTTTATGCTTGGACTTCGACGTTTGTGAAACGATTTGATAATTATTTCTGTTGGAAATAACAAATTTCCAACGTTATCCCACCATTAGAAAGTTGGACTTCAGAATTATACAATATTTATTTTATCAATTTTTTTCGCAAGAAATACATATTTTGATTTAACTAAATCAAAATGCGTATTTTCCGCGAAGTAAATTTATATTTTGCCTTTTACTTCACGGTTTGAAGGGTGAGTATTTTTAAAATTGCTTTTTAAAATGAAATATTCGATAGCTTTAATATCGCATATGATAGTGCTATATAAATAAATACAAAATATGACAGGGGCATGGACTTGAACCGGCATAGGTTACCGCCATAGGTTATCGTTTGTTGCTCTAACAAATTGGGCTACCGCGTCCTACGTATCTGCAATTTTTAATTTCTGATATTGATTTCAGAGCATTGCAACTGTTAGACGAAGTGCTGCACACGATGCCCATCGACGGGCCGCGGACGAACATCGAGTAGGAGTTGATCGGCTTCTTTTGAGGCCTTCGAGCGACCACCCACCACTCACAGCCACGTGACCGGTAGATTTAGCGAAGTGCTGTGTTATGTCAACGTTGCCATGGTTATTTGGTTTCAGTTTGTTGTCCTGCACTAAGAGATGCATACTCATAGGAAGACAGAATATCATAAATAGGCATATAATTTATGGGCGACAGACAATCGACGCAGACAATTCATAGGTATACAGACAATGCATTGACAGACAACTTCTTTATTTAATTTACATATTAAAAAGATGGTATATACTATATATACTTCTTTAGATCTACTCTAATTCTTGAAATGTATTTAACAATTGTCAATATATGTTGAAATATAATGACATAACAAACATATCCTTTTTACAAATAAACTTTCTTCGCCCTTATTGAATTTCTGAAAGCCGTTTGATCCCGATTCTTAAGTCTCCATAAAGTTCCTCCAGTGTACCAACATGGTACAGACTTACTATTGGTATACTTGTAACCTTGGCAACAATGATTAACACATAACAAAACATGATAAGAGAGTAAGCAAAAGTATCACACTTGGCTTGGCTTTCAAAAAACCTTTTCTCGGTGAAATATATTTTTGCAATAACTTAAGTGAACATTCAGTGAGTGGAAACATTTGTGGTAAGACTTAAATGTGCACATTTCGTTTTGGTCGGTTGGTGTATAGTGATTGAAAGATTTTTTTTTGCGTTTTTGTTGCTATCAAATGTGTAATTTATAAAAAAAAACTACGTCTTTTTTTTGGCACTGTCTTCCGAAAATTTTTGTTTTAGTCTTCCTTTGCTAAATTGTTGATTATTTTCCGTTTTATATGGTAAGGGCTGAATAAATATGGCTAGATTTTTTTTTATAGTATCTGTGGGCGATTATTGGATTTGTTTAGCGATTTTTCGTTGAGGCTAGTCATATTTCTTCGAAGTCACGGTTAAGTTTGAAAGTTGGTTCAAATGTTGCACATAAAACGCATCGCTCGCGTTTTATAAAAAGGTGAACTAAAGTTATGTCTTGCTAAGTTAGAGCATTAAATAGTTTTTAGATTTACAGTATTTCGTCAGAGCAAACTAAAGAATATTCAAAGGATCTCACTATGTGTTTCACGAAAGGTCAAGTGTACGCACTAAGCGGATTCGCCTGGCCTTCTTTATTACAAGTTACTGTAAGGTAGATTTTAATTAACTATGAACTGTTTGATGTTTGCTCAACTGACCTCCTTTATATGGATAATACTATTTCTTAGGATTCTTATTCGAATGGCAATATCTTCTGTAATAAACCGTTTAATTATTTCTTTATGGTTGTAAAAATTCTAATAATTGACTTAATATTCTTTAGGTTGGGTCATTTTAAATAAATTTTTATACACGTCTTGCAAAATAGCGCTGTACCAAAATGGGGCTTTTTTTATAAACTAGATTAATACGACAAGACATAATTATGGTTCAACTTGAAAGAAGCCAAATGGAAATTAAAGATTAAGATATTTATGTAAGAACTAATCTATAGGGTTAGATGTATTGTGAGACAGTTGGAGGAGTATTTTGTTAGCTGGGTGTGACTGTAATGCGGCTCGGGTGAATCGGAAAAATCTATAAATTATTTTTATCTCATATTATAAAATAGCTATATTATACCCCTGGAATTACTTAGAAGTCAATTAATAATGGATATTTACTAAGTTCCACATGTTTAGTAAATTAGAGGTTTAGAACGGCCAAAGTTACTGGAAAGGTAAAAGTAAACTGTGAAATTGGTAATCTTAAATATATTTTTTTCTGAAAAATAATAGAGAGCAATATTCTAGATTTCTTACAATAAAAACAATCTAAATTAAATTTAGTTTAGTTACGAATACAGTCTGATTCACCCCGAGCCATAGATTTGAATAGAAACTGTGATGCGCTAACAAACGATAAGATACGTTCTCGACGATTGAACAAAGAATTAAGATAGTATATCTATAAGTGTATGTCAGAGTGGTATTTTTGTGTATGAGACGTTTTTTATTATCATAGATGTATGACGTGTTTCTTTGAATATTTCAGATTTATTTTGTTCGCTTCTCATTTGCTTTAATTTTATGACATGCAGATTTTTTGACGTGTTAAAACGGTATAGAATGTTTGTGTTACATTTATTTTGATTGATTTATAGTTTTGTTACATGACATAGATGATACAATATTTTCTATAGAGTGTGGTCGACGAGGAGGGCATCACACGTTTAACTATTGGTTGCATTTTTGAGTTGTCAATATCGTTACCAAAATGTATTTTTTCGTGTTGTAAATAGTACAAGCTACGGTTCATGTTAACGAGTAATCAATTCATCGGTACTTAGAGTAAGTAAAGACTTAAAGTTTTGACAATTCGAACAACGTATCGGAAATACCTCTCCACAGTGATGAAAGCGATTCGAAGGGTTCTAGGTGTTAAGTGGTAATTTTTTAAAGATGTTGATGTTTTGAATAAAAGATTTTTGCAAATTCTACACGGCACAGTTGACTGCTGGTTGTTCTCAGAAATTGTTCGAAGCCATTTGACAGTTTAGTATAGATTATAAAAGAGAGTTGAATATTGTTGATTATAGCAACATCTGTAAGTACAAGTCTAGTGTTTACATATTTTGCAACATTTTTATACGCGTTGCCATTGTCTTGGACGAGATTTTTTTCGACTGTTGAGTTTGAACTTCGCTTGTGGACCACTGTCGAGTCATATTGTATATGATTTGATAGATCACACATTTTTTACTCATTGACGTTTTAAATACTGCACACGGTGTAACGTAGCCTTAAGTGCATACTTTAAGAGTGAAACTGAACAGAAATTAATATAAAGGTTATTCCTCTAATTGTACTTTTATTTTCCTATATTTATTTACACTACTTATCTATTACTCCGTCGTTACGTACAGGTTCCATAGCAGAGCGAGTGTTTACACACGAGGAAGCGATGGCTCTGAGAAAGAGTAAGTAGTAAATATGAAAAAGGGTATAGATGTCATTCACGTGGTTCGAACCTAGGGCAGTTTAATGTGTTGCGTACCGCCAAATATATCCGATAGATTCCACCGAATAACATTTTTCTGTAGCCATCAATAATCCTAAGTTTGCTGCCGTTTGTAAATCTCGTTCCACTAAATATTTATAAGAGAGGTCGGAACGCGGGAATATTCCGAAATATGGCGTAAAAATAGCGCGAGGCCGCTTCTGTTTACAAGTTTTTACGATCTCCGCGCTTTGGTTAACTTTCTGTTTAATGTATCGTTCTCAAGATTTTTATCTTATCCCTCTATATTCCTTTTTAATAAATTTTGGCAATGATTAAAACTTTTTTAATAATTATCATTTACTTATTACTGACAATACATACTTCACTGTAAAACTAGATGACGTGTCTCTAGGTTTTTACTGTACAATTAAAATATACCCACGGCGCACTTTATATGTGAAAATGGTTCTTATATATATTTAAATAAAACACTTTAACGGACCAGAACGCGAAAAATATTTGTTAAACTTATTACACCTACAGCGTAGCATCCGAAACGTTGCCGAAGCTAAAAATAATTTTCAAATAAGTTTAACCAATATATATAGCGTTTTACGCCGTTAATGTGTTTTATTTAAATGTGTACCACTCGCGTAAACTTCAGACAGTATTTAGTTCTTATATATGTTTAAAAAAGTTTTTTTTTCATTAGTACAAAAACTATTTTATTAACTTTCAATATTAGTGTCCGATTGTAAAGTAATTAACTATAGCTAATTAGACACGCACAAGATGTGAATAGGCCTATTTCGATGATTCACAAGTCGCAAAAACCTTGCTTCACTGCCAAATGCTATTTCCGTTCAATAAAACTCTTATTTTTACCACGGTCAGTGCTACCTCGAAATGTCGCTTATACAATAACATCTAACATTGAAATAAGTAAAATATTATTAAGTCAATTTTTGTCTGTCGCCCTGTACAAGGTAATGCAAAAGGCAAATTTATTAAATTCTATAACTTATATTTAGATACAGCGGAAATAAGAATTAATTTAGTTGAGTAGCGTGTGCAGCCACCGGCTGAATAATTTTTATTTACCTGAACTCTGAAGAACCATCGTGGGCGTTATGATGCACCTGCGAATGAGATACAAAATAGTGTTGTAAGCAATCGGTATCGATAATATCAAAATAAAATATTATACATTTTTTTTATCATAGAGGAAGACAGATAACCATAATGTTTGGTTTAATGGTAGAGGAATTGCCATAAAAAATCTAAACGAGATGCACTGTCGAACTATTTTGGCTCTGGATATTCAGAAATCCACAACCAAAGCGAATAAACTTGCCTGCTTTTTTATATGTGGACGGTAGTTCGTGACCCTAGACGGAATTTAGATACTCCTACCACCCATTATATTATCCAGATTTGCGGACAAAGTCCAACAAGTTTCAGGAAAATTATAAATTGATTACAAAAATGTTTCATAGACTAATATGTACAACATATTACAATTCAATATCATAGAACTGGTTGGTATATAATTTCCAAATACAATACAGTCATTACAGCACATAAAAGTCTTAATAACATTGTAAAGATTAAAGATAATAATATTAACTGTGTCTAGCGTGAATGAGTGAGCCATATCGATATATCGAATGGCCATCCCTATAATAGCGTTGGGCGGAGGATGGCATACAATCCGCGACTGGCCGGGCGCCCGGCAGCGCTACGAACGAACGAACAACGCACAATACAAAGCACCCGTGTAACTTATCCGTTCACACCCCGTGTTTGTGCTATTAGGATTTAATTAGTGTTTAATTTAAGGTACGTGAATATATTAAGTTTTCTATAAAATGTACATATTTAAAGGCAAACTAAAGCTGCGCCCACGCATGCACATAGTTTTTTAAATTCGTATCAAGTGTATTTTTTTTTTAATTTCACGCACAGAGCGTTTAGAATTATTAATATTTTTAATATCTTTTTACTTTAAGCTCAATTTGTCGTACATAGAAATATTATAAATTGTTTGTTTTTCACAAGTATACATTTATTAAATGAGTTTATATGATAAGTTCAAGTTATATCAATTAAAGTCAAGTTGGATTTACTTAGATAAAAATGTTTTCTTATTAGATCAGATACGCGTTAAAGATTAGTGAACATAAGAATAAATAAAAGGCTCGCTTATAGCTTGAGTTAATAAAAGTCAGAAATAAGGAATGTTTATAGCTTGGATTACGCGCAAAAGCGCAATATCTCTGCACAAGCTCTGACTAATAGAACACGTCTTTAGTCAAGGATCGGAATTAGCTTCGGCGGATGCTGACCAGTAAACAATAATATATTTTCCGTAGCTTGCGCGGGTAGTATACATTTAAATAAATCGCTTTTAACGGTCTGAAACGCGGGAACTGCATTTACATTTTAAATAAAACCCTTTAACGGTTTTAAACCCCAATTTTTTTTTTTTTTTTTTTTTTTTTTTTTTTTTTTGCCGCCGGGGGGGGGGGGGGGGCCCCCCCCCCCCCCGGGGGGGACACCCCCCGGGGGGGGGGGGGGGAGAAAAAAAATTTTTTAAAAAATTTTTTTTTATTTTTTTTTTTTTTTTTTTATATATTTTTTTTTTTTTTTTTTTTTTTTTTTTGGAAAAATTTTTTTTTTTTTTTTTTTTCACATTTTTAAAACGTATCTGTTATTGAATATGGATTGAAAAATAATTGAAAAATCGTATCATTTAAATATTTATATTCAACTATTACCTTATTGGGAAGAATACGACACGGTAGAATTTATATATATAATAATTAACGGGTCGTGGGTTTGATTGGGTCCAACATAGCTTCTAATTAATGACCTGAATTGATTCTAATGAATGGTATTTTAATTTTAATGGACTAGTAGTCATCTTCCTCTATCAAAAAAAAAATGAAGCATGCGGTATTTCTCATTTTAAGTTGTCTTATTATTATAATTTTTAGTTTATATCATAAAGTAGTATCAGACTTCTGTGCTCTCGCAAGCGGAACAATTATTAATATCCCTGGTATTTTATCCCAGGACCTGAACGTTTAATGCAATGCTAGGCAAAAAACGAAGATAAAACGGTATAAGCTAATGTTAAGCAATTTATTTATTTTTTATTTAAGAAAAGTAAATTGCAAAATTCGAAGGCAAAGCAAGCGTCTGGTAAATATTTGCGCATTGAGTGATATGCATCAAGTTTACAAACCCGAATAGAAGGTAGAAGGTCGTCGCGTTGGCTCTGGTACAAATGACTCACCATCCTGCACCGTCATCAGTAACACCTGGAGAATTATATGATTTATTATGCTGAAAATACGTAAGGGGCGTCACGCAAATATAATACTATAGTCTACTGCTCAAGATCCCGTAATAACAAGCGAGAACTTTACGAATATCCAAAAAAATAGGAATAAAAACGTTTATTTTTGACGGATTTTGTAAATAAACAATTGACAAATAAGATATCAACATGTTTTCGGAAAGAAGACTGCTTAAATTTTTTTTATTAAAAATCGAATACTGTTTAGGACACAATAGTTCAATTGGTTAGATCAACAGCGCGAAACTCCGTCGATGCCAATGTTCAATGTTCAAGTCATGCCCGTGTCGTACATCATGTGAAATTATTAAAGCTTTAAAAAATCTATAGATAATTTAAAACGTAAACAAAACTTAGATGTCTAGAACAAACGCAAACTGCACGTGACTTATATGAATCTCGGTCTTATTCGAGCCATTAAATTTAAGTAGCGCACCTGGTGTTTCAAGAACTGTAGACCTAATTCCACGCCCTCGCCTGCTCCAAGTAACTACGACTTATTAATGGAATTATAAAGTATAAAGATATCTTCCGTTAATGGTACCATAGGTAGTGACACATAGGTAGGTGAAATATCTCAGCCACATATCATCTAAACAGGATGTGTTGTTGATCTATTTTGGCTTTGAATATTCAGAAATCCTGAGTCTGAAACCGCGACGTGATTAAACTTCACGGCTTTTTCAATTGTGGGCGGTGGTTCGTGACCCATGCGAAATTTCGATTTTCCTAACCCCCATTTACAGGCGAAGCCCAACATGTTTCATAAAAAATATAAATCGATTAGAAACATGTTGAGGTCGAGTCATGTCCCGTTTATTATTAGCCATACATTCCAAGAGCCAAAATATACATAAAAGAGAAGTAATAGCTTATAAGGCGAAGGTCTTGTCAAATCCATGCCTTGGAAAGCACGTAAGCTGTCGGTCCAAGTTCTCACCATTAGATGCGGTAGACTTTAAAACCTGCGCGGGGTAGGGGTTTAGCAACAGCTAAACACGTAATGTAAAAATAAAAGTGGAGTAATTGAATTTAAATATGAACGTCATATTAACAGCCTTATACTAAATGCATATTAAAGTACCTACTTTAATAGTGGGAAGAGTGCCCCACTATTAAAGTAGGTAGGCTTCTCTCTGTCTGTTTCTGTTTTAACGACTGCAGCAAATTAGATGCAACTTTACAAGGGCTTAGTACAAAAGACAAAATTGACTTTTGAAACACTACGGGACGCAACGCAAATGAAACAGGTTGAACTATAATAGTACATTATGATATATGTGCGGTAAGTTGAAATTTACAGCCGAGGCGATATTACTATAAGAAAGCAGAGGCTGTAATTTTCAAAGCGCACGTATGTCATACGACGTTGTATAACGTATCTACGAGGAAATGACGACATTTTCAAATAAAAACAATACAGCGAAAAGAAAAAGCTCGCGGAATTATTTTTACTTGTCCACAAATAAGCAATGCGCGCGCATCAACGTTTTTTTTAGGCAAAGGTACAAAAACAGCCAGTATTACTAATAAAGTAAATGAATATTCTTGTGTTTTTGTTATAGATAAATGGTTGTAATTTATTGTCAAAATTAATTAAATTAAAAAATTAAATGTTTATTTGTTATATTTTATTTCCCAAAGTTAATTTTATTCATAAAATATTGACCACTTTCTTGACATAAAACCTCTTTGCTAAGATTTTTAAAGGTATCGTTCATTTTTAGACGGAATATCTTTAAACTTTATTTAAAAAAAAACACGTGCCTTTTACATTACATTATCGCACAAGTACCTAATGAGATACATACATACGATATTGAAATTGGTGTATATACAACTACTTTACGAGCAAATATGTTATAAATGATTATTATACGTTGAAATATACGAACCGATATACAAAAACCGCGAGTTTTTCGTTTTGTAAATAAATTAGTAAGTTTTGAAAGAAAAGGAAATTTATAGTTCACGTTTGGATATCGGAAGGCGTAGTTGGTCTAACTATAGCTTGGCTAGAAGCCATACACTATAAGTATGATTGTGGAGTGCCAAATATCTGCCACCGCATACCAACGGGCGTTGATGGTTATTTTACTATTTTTAGTCAATAAATTTTATAAAGTACAGTAGAATCTCACTAATCCGACACGTCAATGGACCGACACGTCCAATTATCCGGCAAATGCGGTCCCTCTCACCCCTCCCTAGCAATGCGCTTAGCTAAAGTTATTCTGTGCTGACAATTTAGTTTAGTAACTTATAGATTAAGCTGGCTTCTGATCCAGTGATACGCATATTACAATAAACCGACACGCTCTTGTTTTTAAGGTACCGGATTTGTGTGTTCTTTTACTGACTAAAGCTGATAATTTACGAATAAATCACCAAGTCCACTTGGATAAGTGATTTTTCTTTTATGGAATAAAAATGATTTAACGGTTTAAAACGCGTAAATGCTACAATGTACATATACTTGCTACAATACATTGCAGCAAGAGGCTCGTAGTTTGTACAAACAATTTTTAATTTATAATAGAGGAGGAATGTGAAGCTTGATGGTAGGTTAAATACTCCGGACATTTAACACCTAAACAAGGCACGCTGTCGATGTGCTATCGACCTATATTGGATTTGAATATTCGGAAATCGGACTGAAACAGAAGCGCGGTTAAACTTTGCGGCTTTTTATCTGCGGACTGTGGTTCGTGAAGCGGACGGAACTCCGATATTCTTACCACCCATTAAATATAATAATTATAAATTTATTACAAACATATTGGGACCCGATGGGGATCGAATCTTACTACACCCTTCAAAAAGGTTGGAAATGAATAAAGCAATACTCGTAACGCCTACATGTCTCGTGCGCACAAAACATATACATACACTATGTACATGGTGTGTCCTGTTATAATTATACTATGTTTTACGATTCATGTTCTAATGCCGACGGTGATCTCACTTACAGTTGGAGGTTACGTCCCGCACGCTCGCTAACATCAACGAAATGGCTGAAAATGGGTAAAGCAAACTTTCTTTTAATAATTTAATTATCTACTCAATCTAAACTAATATTATAAAACTAAGGAGTTTGTTTGGAGCAGTAACGCGGACGACGTCGCGTCCTCAGCTAATGTATATAATAACAAAAAATATTTAATTCCATGGCAAACCTAATCTAGAGTCTTCTATATTATAATTGATGTAGCTATCTATTCAAAGCATTTAAGGTATCATTAAAATGTTTCTTAACAATACCGTGCCCAAAGCGGAATAGGTCAACAATATCCACTCGTCAGCGTCTAGTTGTCGTATAATGTAAAAATAACGTGTTCTTTGGCTGTTTTCCAGGTACGGGCCCACGCCCGTCGCTGGTCACGTCGGCAGAATCCCAAACTTCGGCAAAACACAGGTTAATGTAAGTATTCTGGTCGATATGAATAAATTAAAACGTTTAAGAGGTCATTGACACTTCGAATACAATACAGAGTTAGAGATTAATTAGTATCTGTCTAAATTTTCAGCAATTTGGGAATTCAGAGCCACCGGCGTGTATCCAAAACGCCATGATGACGAAAGATAAGAAACCTTTCACATACACGCCAGGAGGTTTAGATCTGTCCCAAATAAGAACTCCAAGTATGGCTAGAAGATTGGCGCGCCAAAGATCTCAAGAAGAGCAAGAACAAGCTTATCCGCAGGGAAATGGAGGATATCAGCCTCAAGGAGTGCCTGTGCCACCACCGCCACCTCCAATGAAAATACCTGCTCCGCCACCCCCACCCCCGCTAGTGATCGAAGCTCCCAATAATAAGTCACCCAAACCTCCAGCTCTTGGCGAACGCCCTGAAATAGTAATTCCCGAAAACCCCATAGGCATGCTAAGAAAAACGAACAGTCCCTACCACTGGGAAGCCGAGAAGGCTGACTTACAGCGCATGGGTCCAGTTCCTAAATTCGTCGATAAAGTGCCGAGTCCACTAACTGTCAAACTTCCACAGAATAATATACCACAAAACTACGGATCACCGCAATCGAATTATCAACGACCATACGGGAATCAATATCAGGCTCCTGACAGTCCTCTTCATAGACCAGAGGCCCAATATGGTAACCAGAAGAGCATGTCACCCGGAATGAACGGGTCTCCACCTACAAGAGAAATCTTACAACGTCAAGATTCACAGTTCAATAAGAGTCCACAGCCGTATGCTTATCAATCTCCTCTTGTTAATAATGTGCCCTATTCTCCAACTCCTAACAGCCAATGGAGACAGCCAGAAAGAAGGGATTCACCAGCTAAAAATAGTCCACAATCCCCGCAAAGTCGAGGCCCATTTTCGCCAAATGTCCAACAAACTTCACCCATATATAATCAAGGCCCACAGAATAATAATGTATATCACACTCTACCTAGGGTAGTACAAAGGAATCAAGAATCGACAAATAATAATACACAAAATAATTACGCGACTCGTGTACCAAATAACGCAAGAGATATTCCACAACAAAGCGAAGGAACAAACGCGGCTCCATGGCGCACTAGCACATTAAATAGATATCCGCGACAAGACCAACCATCATCGAATAATAGTAACCAAAATGTATCTCAGGCCTATTCTCCGCCTTGGAAAAGTAACGACACGAACAATAACTTGAATTCTCCTTGGAAACAAGATAGTAAAAATAACAATCAATATAACGATACCCAGCAGAATCCACCATGGGTAAACCAAGTCAATAACAAAGTACCAGAGAACTCTGCTCCTTGGCGGGCACAAGAAGCACAGAGAACGGTTCCCACTTCTCCTCCAGAAGCAAGATATCAATCTTCTATTTCTATTCCTGTCACTCCGAAAAAACAGCAACCTGCGCCTCAGTATAGCAATAGTCCTGTACAAAAGGAAGTCGTCTACGTTAACGAGGAACCGGTGTATTACTGCCCAGACAGTCCTAAATCTATGCCCCCGTGGGTGAAATCTCAGAAGGAGAAGACTAAAACACCACCACCAATATGGTGTCAAAGACCGCTCGATGGTAGCAAAACAATACCCAGAGAATTAGAAACACCTCCAAGGGAGACCAACGAGCCCGAATGGGTACGAAAAAGCAACGAGATGCAAAAAGGTGCACGCGACATTGTAAGCCCTCCGAAATACCAGCAATCAGCTCAACCTAACTGGTCGACTAGACCGTCAGAGAACAGAAAGAGCTTGCCAAGAGACACTGAACAACCGCCAAGTAGAATTATTCCAATCCAAATGGAAGTATCTAGCGCAGAAACTAGAAACCAAAGGCAGCATGGAAATCAACAACCGCAATTAAGAATAGTAATTGACATGAAACAGAACCCCAACGAGCAAAGTCAATCCCAGGTGCCATACTCGCAGCCGACGCAGCGCATCATGAGAGTGCTGTCACCGCAATTAGTGAAATTAGACGAAGGGTCTGCGGACAGAGACCTACCATCGTTAAACAGAAGTTTTCAAAATCAGGACAGTCAACCAAAAACAAGGATAATACCTATACAAGTGGAAGGCAGCAATGGTGGCGCAAACAAGAGGTATTTTATTTAAAATTTGATTAATTGGTTTTAATAGGGTTCCTTAGCCAGGGTGAGATAGGCTAAGTTATTAATGGTTATTAGGACTTCTTAAATACAATAATAGTACGGAACCTTTTACTTTGAGATCGACTCGCGCTTGCCTGGTGCTTGCGCTGCGTAACAACGTTATAAATATCATATGTATTTTTACTATTATTTTACATATATAGGTACATATCTTATATTTAAATTTTCAGCTTCGGTGGCCGGTATTAGGAGCGTCGTTTGCACTGTCCAAAGTAAATGAATTTTATTGCACCGCTTCGAGATGACTCAGTGTTACGCTTGCTGTATATTTAGCAACATTTTGCTTTCGAGAACATGCTCTAATTTTGTTTTTATTACTCTAATCGATTCATATTCCCTTGAGCTTTTAATTGGCAACCTAATTGTAACTTGTAACACGTTATCTAGATGCCGCTTCTGTCTGTATAAAGTTAAGTTTTAATATTAACAACAAAAATATTCGAAACAGAATTTTTTGTGCTTATGAATTATAGTTTATGATTTGTCTGATGTAGGTTGACAGTATTCTAATTTAAATAAAACATTTTAACGGTTTTGAACGCGATATATATTAGTTAAACTTATTGGAATTATTTTAGCTACATTCTGACGTTTCGGATGCTTTGCAGCAGCCGTGGTCACGGAGAGACTAAAGATGGAGGGTGGCTCTGACGTCAAATAATTAGAGTAGCTAAAATAGTTTTCAAATACGTTTAACTAATATATATCACGTTTTAAACCGTTAAAGTGTTTTATTGAAAGGAGTATTTAGTATTCTAATTTCAAAATCTTACAATAAGATAATTGCACACCACCACAGCCCTAACTTGACTTGACAAAGTTATTGTCACATACTAGACAAAGTATACTCATTTATTATTCAAAATGAATTTCACTCTTTGACTTTTACAGAGTATACTACCATAGGATAACTCAAGAAGCACCACAGCACCAATCAAGATCGTTCAAAGTACTCCAAGTAGTGACTGGAACCGGTCCTGACGATATACAGATTATAGAAAACGAACGAGGGTATTCGGACTTATAGCGATATTTTATAAATAATATTTTGAATATATTAACGTAGTAGTCGGTTATATAAAATTACTCTTTACTTTTAGTAATTTGAATAGTATTTTTTTTAATATTTTTATTTTGTTTTTACGCGGGAAAATTGAGCTATATACACAGTATATTACTATATTTCTATTAAGGTAAATATGACTTAGATTAAGCTTCTTTTAATAAACAATTAAATTGCTTGTTTTGTGATAACTAATGCTCATAAATTAAGTGACTACGGCTAATACACCAAAGATTTAATTAATAAATAATTTAGAATTAGTTTATAAGTATATGTAAGGTAGATAGGCACTTATTAACATCTTAAACCAATTACTGTATTAAATTTATTTGTATCTATATATTTTTATATCTATGAAGGGTTCTAATTACTAACTTTGAAACGTAATTTTAATTACGCCGCCATTTTGAAATTTATTAACGTTTCTCATCACTACATATATTTCCTAGTCTTTTTATACACCATATATATTATTTATATTTAAACTAATATTATTACGTTTATTATATAATTATATATGCTATTAATACTAAAAAAAATCGCTTTTTTCAAGTACCAGCATCTGTTAAAGGTTATATATTACATATATGGTTGATACCACATCAACTAAATACATAGTAGTTTAGTAACTTCTGTGAATTTCCTTATAATTTTACAAAAAAAAAGGTGTAAACAAATTTGTTCCTGGAATCCTGGCATCGTGTTTGTAATTAACAAAATAATAAAATTAGCCATTGCAAATTGACATTATTTTTGTCTAAAATTAAATGGTATGTTCCCATCGATTTGGAACGATAAACATACAGATATACGTACTTATTGTACAAAAATAATGTCAAAATATTGGAATGAACAGACAAAGGGTGTGGCATTCTAGTCAGTGTGATCTTTCTTTAAATATTTAAGTCTATCTATGATAATTTACCAATTAGAAATCTAATTTATTGATTGCATATATGATACATTAAGTTATTATTAATAATAATATATTAAATCCACATCGTTGTTTTATTTTTATCCATTTCAATGTATTTTCTAAATACTTCATAAGGCAAGAGAACGAAACGTTCTTCCAGGTCAGCTAGTCTAGGTCTATAATATTAATACTAAATAATCTTAGAGCAAAGACATGCTACAAGAAAAAAAGGAATGCTACAACAACTATAATTTTTTATTTAATATTACACCCTCTGTTGTGTTTTCTTGGAATTTGGAGGCTCATTGTAGACTTGCATTGTCTACGAAGTACGTTAATACTGTAGAGTTTCTTTGTGTATCTATCTGATGGCATTGCAAATAAACTACCTAAAATATACAGTAGGTTGCTAGTTCTTCCAGATAGATACGAAACATAAATAATAATAAAATGTCCTAGACCCAAAAATTCATGAGCTAGACTTTATAGGCGCTTTCGTCATAAATTTTATAAAAACACAAAGCACAGACTGAACACAGGCTGAAAATAAAGCTTACGCAAACAGCCACAGTACAGTTGACGTGTAAAATACGAAAGATAAATCGATTACTCGCCGCACCATTTCAATGACGTCAAGTAATTCTTAAGTGATTCTAAATTCTCTAAAAATCTAGATAGGGGTTCAGAAAAATATATCTCTAAAAATTTCTAGATAGATAGTGAACAATATCGTAGTTTATGTGAGTAGTAGACTTTAAAAAAAAACTTTTGACGGTTTGAAACCGTTACAAACATTTTATTTAAATATGTAACTTTATTGACGGATGAGACGTGACCTACAATTTATCGAAAAGATTAGAGTCTATATATAAAAATATTTTGCTAATCTGTTTAAATCCGGAGCTGTAGACATTTGTTCTTTTTATCATCGCTCTAAGTCGACTTATAATAACTATAAACATCACGTTGTTATTGCAGTGTCACTTTCAAAATAGATTTTGATAAATGCTAGCATACGTAAGTATAAAAACACTAAAATTAATATAGCTGAAATACTCACTAGAATCGCCTTAGACGATTCTAGTTGTTCGACAAACAGTAGAGGCTTATCAAAATCGTGATGACGCATTTCTATTGTCTTTGGAATCATATGCTCTTTGATTTCCTATTCCGCGCTGCAAGGACCGAAATTAGGTAAGCTGTTAGAACGAGGAAATATTGTGCAAGTATTACTATATTACAAGTAGTAATAACGTATACAATATTTATATATACAGCTGAAGAGTTTGTTTGTTTGAACGCGCGAACTTTAGAAACAATTGGTTCGAATTAAAAAAATATTTTTGTGTTAGTTAGACCATTTATCAAGGCTATAAAACATGCTGCGTCTAATAGGAGCGAAGAAACAGCGGGATGAAATGATAAAAGGATGTTAAAACTGTTTATTTTATAATCAGAGGATTTCTTAAGCTGCACGGGACATTGAACTTCAATTGAAAGTATAAAGGTTGAAATTACATTGCACAATAGATGCATGTATTAATCGGGTCGAAATCCGATGAGATCGGACGAGACGACGCAGTAGCACGAATCGCTGTAGATGAAGGTCCAAGTCCTGCCCGTGTCATCTTTCTAACATGTGAAAATAATAAAGTATCCAATTCCGATTTTTTAATGATGGGGGGGGGGGGGGGGGCAGACAAGCATGGGGCTCAGTTAATGGGAGGTGAAATACCCCAGCTTATAACATCTACAAAAGTTGCGCTGTCAACCTACTTCCTTGATATTCGGAAATCCGAGATGTAATTAGTATCTGTGACAGTTATTGAAGTCAATACAATTACGATTCGATCCTAATAAAATAGACTAACACCATTTAACACACACCATCCAAATTAACATCAAACAGGACGATAAAACAATAATCCGTTCCCCACTGTTTGTTAATTAACAATTTCATGAACGAACGGACATGAAGATTACGCGCGATAGCCTATTAGCCCAGGTGATAGCAAATAGATCCTATAAAATGAACATAGAATGCGAAGGCGTCATTTCGGGGCGATCGACCCGATATATCGGGATCGGGTTTAGGGGTTAATTGATATCGTATACTGATTAAAGAAGTTATAGCCTTTTAACGCCAATGCGGTGGGTGTTATGATTCTATTAGCCGTACCGCTGTATTAAAGACTAGCTGATCTGAAAACGTTGTTTTGTTATTTTGCAAGATTAATATTATGATGAATTGTGTAAGGCTTTCACGGCCATTGATAAGCATATCATTGTTTATACGGGCTGTTCGGCGGAGGTGAGCGAGAAATTCTCGACGTTTCGCCATCACGAGTAGACGGCATCATCAGGAGATGTTGTTAGCTCCTCGATTGCTTGAAGAATTAATTCTTCTGTCACCGCCGAACATCTCGAAAAATAATGATATGTTAATATTATGATGCTGATATAACTCTAACATATAATTGGTATTGATTTCGACCAAATTGCTTACCATAAAAACGGTTCTTGCGTGTTAAATTATAGAGGCAAATTTTGTTGTTTTCTAAATTTTTAAAGAGGAATTTTTAAAGATAAATATTTTTGCTTATTTTTTTTTTCTACATTTTTCACTATTCCACGCCTTTATTGGTACGTAGCGTGTTGTTTTTCCTTCGATAAATGGTCTATCCGACACAAAATTATTTTCCCCTATCGAACGAGTAGCTCCTGAGATTAGCGCGTTTAAACAAACAAACTCTTCAGTTTTATTATTTTACCGTATATAAAAATTAAAAATATATCTAGTATAAAAACTAAAAATTAAAAAATACATATAGAAATGTTGTTTCTCAAAGTAAATATAAGAAATCTATCTATCAGCTCCTATAAAATATGAAAAATACATGGAGGAATTTAAATAAAAACTGCTTCACCCAAAAGGGACCATTTTATTAGCTTTCATGAATTCGATCCACTTCTTGCCAAAAATGACAACTATAGTATGCAGTAATTCACCAGATTACGAGTAACTAGTTAAAAGAGTGTACATTAAAATAAATAACTCGAATATCCCCACAAAAGGGATCAAGCCAAAGGTCTGAACATCCTCCCGGAGAATTAAATGACCTTAGATTTTAATTTAGTCCAGCCTGGCATAAAGGTCACTTCGGTAACCCAAATAGAATTCTAGTTAATTAGCTAAAGTATTTATAATTTAGGGATTAAATCGTGTAAGGGTTAAGGGTATTTTAGTTTCGGGGTGGCATTCAAATTTTAATTAATTTGTGTAATTCAAAATGTAAATTGCTACCTTTTATTTACAAGACCACTTTATGACTTAAACTTCTAAGCGTCACAACCTAATAATGCCCCACTGGGCATAGATTTCTTCTGTCATAGGAGAGACGATGTAAAAGTTTAGACCCACCACGTTCCTTCGGGTTGATGAGCTTTAACGACAACCGTCACAAATTTCGTTTTATTTTAATAGAAATAGCAAATTAGGAAACACGTTTTTGTACCACCTGGGATTTGAACCTTCGTTGTCGCGATCTGTCGTCGAGTGTAGTAACGACTAGACTGTTGTAGTAGTCGATTTGAAGAGAGTAAGTTTGTACTCAAAACAAAAAAATGTCTTATCTAATATTCGTTGGGCTATATATATAAAATTTAGTAAAAGCAGGAAAACGCGTAAATCTATACTAATATTATAAAGCTGAGAAATGTGAGGAAGTACTGGTCTATACAATCTCAGCGAAGATACAATGAAAAACGTGGAAAAGGGGAAATAAATATTTGAGGGCTGCCATTACGTGCGCAGTGAAAAAGTTTCGAGAAACCAAAAAATATGTATGAAAGAATGATTTAGATCTAAAAAATGTCCGCAACAGTATGTCTGTACAACAGTAACACAGAAGTAAATTATACTATTTG